TGGTCATCCAAAGCTGGAGCTGGGGGTCAAAGGTCAGGCAGCACCCTGTTGTGCACTGCTTGAAGCCGGTGTGGTGGAGTAACCCTACCCAGTTAATTTGAGATAAAATGGCAGAGGGGTGGGAGAGTCTTGTGTGAAGAGCCATTGACGCATTGGTTTCTTAAAACTGTTCTGCTTTAGGCGATTCCTTACACTTTAATATAGAGCTTCTCTAGACACTCAAAGCACTTAACGGGTAATGGGGACTCCCCTCCACTACCAGTGTGCAGCCCCACCTGGGTGCAACAGCAGCCCTAGACCACCAGTATGCTCACCCCTTATCAGCCATCATTGGGGAGGAGAGCAGAGTGATGAGGCCGTGATTGATGAACCCCTAGACTTTGAGAAACGCCCTGGGATTTTTCATGAGTCAGGACCTTTTTACAGTAGTGTCCCCATAACTATATTGGGTTATCAGGACCTGCACAGACTGCAGGTTGAGTGCCCCCTGTTGGCCCCTCTTGGCAATAGGCACGTGCAGCAGGGCGCCTGGACAGGGTGGAGTCCAGTCTGTTGGGTGCAGGAAGAAGAGCTCTGACCGCCCCTCTCTGTGTCCACAGTGGTGCGTGGGAACATCCGGTCGGTGAGGACCGACGGGGACCTGTGGGCGTCGGTGATCGGCGTGAGCGCCTCGCGGGTGTACCGGCAGAAGTACGCCCTGTTCTCCGGCCCGGGCCGGCTGGCCCAGTCCGGGGAGATCCGCACGCTCCTGCGGTGCGGCGTCAAGCCGGGCTCCGGCAGCTTCCTGTTCACGGGCCGGGTCCACTTCGGCGAGGCCTGGCTGGGCTGCGCCCCGCGCTACAAGGACTTCCGCCGGGTCTACGAGGAGGCCCGCGAGGCGCGGCAGATCCCCTGCGAGCTGGCGGGCAACTGAGGGGCATCCTGGGAAAACTCCTCACCTCCGCGGTCCTCTTTGCCAATGGCCCCCCTCCTCCCCTTGCTCATCGCCCTCTCGAAGCCTAGAACCTGCAGCCTCCGAGGAAGCGCAGCAGGGGTGTGGATCCAACTCTGGGCATGGCGGCGGCCTTTTGGTGTTGGCGGGGTTGGCTTTGGCGAAGGGGTCTGGGTAATGCAACGGACTGAACCGTGTGGACACGATAGCGGCTGCCCTCCAGTCTGGGGCACGTTCTTGATCGGGAGCCACGCTGGGAGAGCTGTGATCGGCGTTGGAGGGTCTTGGCTTCGCTGCCGGGAGGGTTTGTGGGTGTTGCAGACGTGGCAGCTCGACGGGCGGTCCTGAAACCGCTTCAGTGTTCTTGGTGAGGACGCTGGGAGACCGTGATGGCAGCAGGTCTTAATAACAGCAGGCCTTGATCTTTTACATCGACTTGGGACAGGACGTTTTGTTACTCAGGAAGTGAATGACTTTCAGCATTGGACTGGTTCACTTAAACCACGGTGGTATGTTGATTTCCCTCTCGTGTCTCCATCTTGAAGAGCAACTGTGGAGAGTGAGCTTGATGGATCAACGACTCGTCTTCTATCCTAGAACAAGACTGCCTTCTACCCCCCATTTAGGTTAAAGAACGCCTAAAAATGCCAGTTAAAAAACCCCAAATTTAAAATAATTCACCACCCCTCTCCCTTTGAGTGAGATGAACATGTTCCCTTCCTAGGTTTCTACATGAATGTCCTTGTAGATGAGGAGGGGGCTGAATGAATTTTGCACTGCCTTGCTGTTGAAGGAAAGGGGACTATCTGTTTAGGGTGTCGGGGATGAGAGGTTGGCGCAAGCACTGAGGAATCTGGAAAACCAAATGATTTTATATTGCTTATGTGTATAGAAATACAGTATTAATATATAATGGTGACTCCAGGCAAGGGGGCAGAGTTCAGAGAAGCTTGTGAGTCCCAGGTTTAAGAGCAGGAGTATGTGCCACGTTCAGCCTGATGGCCTATGATAGCTTGCCATCCTGCTGTTACATTTATATCAGTTAGTTTGAAACAGGGTGCCTTGTGTACTGATTGAATACCCTGTATAAATAACTTTTTTTTAAAAAAAAAAAGCCTAGTTAAGTAGACTTGTTTCAGAGTATTGCTTCAGCAGTGGTCTGTTTTGTTGCATCTTTGGATATAAACAGAATCATTCCTGAGCCTTTATGTACATCCTGAAGGACAGAAGGATTTAAAAACCTTTGTTTCCTCAAATGTGGGATACTGTTGTTTCTACAAAATTGTGTGTAATGGTTTCATGGGAAAACAAGTTCCCTAAAAAACATGCCTAAGCTAGTCTATCCAGTACAAGGTTGCAGGGGGGCTGGAACCTGTCCAGAGAAGCAGCAGGCACAGGGCAGGATACACCTTGGACAGGACGCTAGTCTATCACATGCCAGAGAGCCCTGAACACTCGCAATTAACCTACCAGCATGTTTGGATTGTGGGAGGGAACTGGAGGAAACCCCTGTGAACACAATGAGAACATGCAAACTCCATGCAGACAGCACCCCATGAATTGAATCCTGTGTTGCAAGGCCACAATGCTAACCACTGCCCCTCAGGGCCATCCTGATTAATGATTTCATTTTAATGATCACTTAAAATGAAAACGGCAACAAGTGGTAGTTGGGTTTTCAACTGTACAGAAGGTGCTTTTTTTTTTTTTAAACCAGTCAGTCCATTTCCTCTTGGTGCTCTGGTATCTCAGTCTTGCCAAGATGAACCCTGATGGCTTGGTTACCTTGGTTTCTCCAAACTGGCCCCGTGATGGAGTAGCATTCCTTCCTGGCTGTAGTATGGTCTTGTGCCCTCTGCTTCTAGGATAGGCTTTGGATGGTTGTGACGCTAACTGGGAATAACTGGCAGCTTTCTGATGATGGGTGGGGAATTTGTTACACATTCAATGCATTTTTTTTTTAAACTGAGCTTGGTATCTTATTGGAGTGAGATGCTTGTAACAAACATCTTTCAGGTTTTTCCTCACTGGACTCCTAGTCCAGATGGCTCTTAGGCTGCAAACTGGAGGTGTGCGTGGCAGTTTCAGTCCCCTGTGGTTATTCATTCGATATTCAACACTTTTTTTTTTTGCCATTGTAATATAGGCTTGAGACATGAGAACATGCAACTGCCTTTAGGTCAGACAGTGGGAACCAGTTGTGTACAGAGGCCTGTGACTTTTGTGTAACTTTTTACTGCTGTCACCTGAAGTTCAGCATTTCTCTGCTCTTCTTGCTTTTGCAATATTTGACAGACACTTTTATCCAAAGCTCCTTGCGTTTTTATCCGTTAACAGGGCTGTATAGTTTGAGGCAATCTGAAGGAAGTTCCTTTTGCTCAGGGATACAATGACCGTGCTTTACCCAGAAATCAAACCCACCCTTTTCCAGTTAGAACTCCAGTGCACCAGCTACTGGGGTTTAAAAATTTTACTTCTAAGTTGAAGCGAGCACTGTCAATTGTCCACGTTCACAGATTCTGACTACCTTGTTGATGGTAATTTTTAGAAGTGTATAACTTCTTATATAAAGATGAACAGCTTGTCATTCACCTGTGAAACGCTAGGATTCGTATTCAGTACAGCCTTACTGGATAGTAACTAAAAGCGTCTTCTACTTAAATGATCCCGTACAGCCTTTTTTGTTTTTAAACCTCCATCTGTGAGCTTGGTGGACTGACATTCAGAAACTCGAATGCTTGGTTGCCATGCTTTTTTGGGGGAAAACAACCCCTGTATCAACCTCTGTGCTAAAGCTGAAGGATGTCACTTGTTTCCTCACAAAGTGATTTAATTAAGTGATCTTTATCAACTAGAATACTAGTTACATCTAGGGCTGCCTGCAACATTGGGTCTTGCACCCCTTTTTTTAAAATAATGGGGGGGAACGGAGCTGAAATGACTCTTGCAGGAAAGTCACAAGGACATGTGAAAATAATCAGCCTTGGCTCTTATTGATGAGCCTAATATCATCTTTAATGGTTATAAGAACTGTGTGTTCAAAATGTACAGGAGCAAAACTGAATTTCTTACTCCTGCATCCTATGTTTCTTGCAAATGCTCTATAAGGGTGAGTCCTGGTCCGGGAGTCTACCTGGAGTATTGAATGTCCATAATGAAGTGTCATTTGCTTTTAACTAGTTTATTTGGACTAGGGCTTCATGCTTTGTGACTCTTTTTTTTTTCCTGCTGGGAATGTTCATGCTAATGTTCTGTTCCAGCAGCTACTGACTTCAGAAGAGCCATTTTCAGTGCTGCTTGTGAGATTGTGCATCGTTATTGCCCAACAGAAATGGGTGATCATGGTTTCTAGCCACCAGGAGCTTTTTTTTGTTACCCACTGACCCCAGGACCAGTTGCAGTCTAAACTGGAACTTGCAGAAAACCACATACATGTGCAGGGTTAAATATCTGATTAGCTCGTTGTGAAGTATATTGCTTGTTTTATTCTGTGCACTAAATTGAAGGGAGTGGTGATACCAAATCTTAGGAGGCTTGTTCTTGTAGAAGCACTCAATTGTTTTTTTTTAATTGTTTTAAATAGCTGTTGCCAAGGTGACTGGCTAGATTGAGGTTTTCAATGTGAATGTATATACTGTACATACAAAAGTTTAAGAAACTAATGAAGAAATATTAAGTGTTTTTTTTTTAAGAATTGATGTCTGTGTTGTGCTGTTTGTGCCTGAAGTGTCTTCTAAAGATTGAAAATAAAAACCACTTTCTTCAATATAATAGGTGTGTTAAGTCACTGCTCCAGATGGTTGGCTTTAGTGACTTTTTAATGCTTGGATATGAATTTCTCTTTCCACAAATGCTTCCACTTTATTCCCTTCTCTCCTCTAGGTGTTTTTATTAATTGGATTCAATTCTTGAGCTCTGTTAGTTTACTGGAGCTGTTTGCCCCATTACACAGTGGACTTAGACTGGAAAAAACGCTGGAAGTGAAGGTAAACATGAAGAACACAATTTAAAGTCTGTGGCCTCTAAAACATGGAAAGTATAGAGACAATATTTGTGTTTTAATAGTTGGAATAAAGTTGGTAGTATGGCACAGACTTACTGCAGTGTTATTGCATCACTTACGCATGTTTCTCACCAATTTAGTTTCATGCATAGTTCCTCAAGAAGATGTACTTGAGGCACACTTCTCTAAGGTCTCTTCCTAAACCTGCAGTTTGGTTCCTTCTGCATGGTGTATGGATTTTGAAAAGTACACTACACATCCCTTTTAAAACTGGGTGTATTGTGAGGAAGGTCACTGGATGTTTCCTAACCTTGTGGTCACTGCAGTACAACTGGCCTCCAAAAGATCACGCCGCAGCGATTTATACCACATGCTACTCTACCCATTTCCTGGCAGGCCTGTTCTGGTTTGCCTCTCCCACAGCCTAATGAATGGGGATTCATTCCCAAGAGCCAGTGTTCTCCAGCAGACAGAGGGTTGTTGTCCGTGCGCACTCTAGTCCAAACCGCAGTTCTGCTGATGCGAGCTGTTCTGGTGCCAGTTAAGAATCGCTTCAACAAAGACCACCCCCAACCCCCCCGACACGGGGAGCTTTCTCGTCTTGCACAGCAAGTTTTCGGCAATCAAATTCCTGGCAGGACTCTGCCTCGGCTTGGACAGAAACCAGAGCTCTTTCCAGAAAAAGCTTCAAGAATTAAAAGGTGGATCTCAAGAGAAGGCAAAGCCCCTTCTTGCATTTTTTTTTTTCCTTTTTCTGTCCCACCACGTCCTCCTTGTTTCTCCCTCTTAATGAGGAAGGCACATTGCTGGAGAGAGCAGTAGAATCTGCTGATAGACACACACCATTAGTCTTGCCCAGTGTCCATCTGCTCCCCAGTGCTGTAATGAAATTCGGTAGGTAGGTACTGAAACATTGAAGTTGCTTGCTCGGCTTCGTGTCACTTACCCTGCAGGAAACATTTAAGTGTTTCCACCCCTATGCCCCCTCCCCCACCTCCAGATTTCAGGTGGGAGCTATCAGCCCTTCCCTCCTTCACCTGCAATTTGGCGGTGTCTCTGCTCCGCTCCAGGCTTTGTTCCGGATGTGTGGAGAAACACCTCACGTGGCCTGACGCCTCTGGATTATGAGACCTAGATATTGACAGAAGTCGCTGTCTAGAAGCTGGTAGGCGGGAGTGTGCTGGGCAAAGGGGTCAGGGGTCAGTGTGCGAAGGCCCTGCAAGGTAGGTGCGCTAGGTGTGGCGGCTGCGTTATTGGTGCGTGTCGGCTGCTGGCGGCGGACGGGGGAAGAGGAAAGGTCTTCGGGGAGAGTAGGCGCTGTGTCGCGGGCAAGCCGCCTGCTCCCAGGAGGTCGGGCTGCCGAGCCAGTCCAGCTTCAGCATTCAGGAAGTGATAAATCCTCATTAAGGATCTGCGCTGTGAGTGGGGGCGGCGGGGGTGGGGGGGTGCGCCTCGCTGCCCGCCTGCTGCGGATATGGAGACGGACAGCGGTTCGGAATTCTGGCCTCCTGCCAGAGCATGGAGGCTCCACAGGGAACGCGCAGCACAAGTCGGCTCGGCGCTTCCACAGTCCGGCAATCGCTTCGCGGAAGGCAGCCAGCTTCGCTTGAAAGACTGTTCCCCCCGGGCTAAGATCTAATAGGCTCTGCCATGAAAAATCGTTCCCCCTAGACTATTTTCCATTATTTTCTAAGTGTCGCTGGTTATTTGGCTATGAGTCTGAACAAAAATAAACATGGGAGTCTAACTTGCTGAGGTACTTAGGCATCAATATCCTCCAGTGAATTCAATGGAAAAACCTCCTTCCCTGGTGCTCTGGACTATTGGACTGCATTTGGGCGTTTGTCATCTGTGTTTTTGACTTTTACTTTGCTAGAAATGGGCCCTTTTCTTAGCCCTCACTCCCCTCCCCTCCCCTCCCGTCCCTCCTCAGCCCAAACAGAAAACCGAGTAGTTTGCCGCAAGAGTGTGAAAGGATGACAGGAAGTTGTTGTTTTTTTCCTCAGTCAGGCGTCTGGCGTTCTTGAACGGTGCCAGCCGGGCTTCTAACTGCCAGAACAACCACGTCGCCACGGTGAAGTCAAAAACAGGACGTTGTGGGGTGGGGGAGCCGGGTAGGCCCCTCTGGGAGTCCGGGGGCAAGTAGAGTGAGCCCAACCCCTGCGTGGTGAAGCCAGACTGGGCACAGTGCCTCAGGATGCTCCCTAGACTTCCACAACAACACTGTGCTCCCCGCAGGCCATTAAACTGTCACTGTTACACAATCTGCTCCTCGGTGGAAAGCCATCTCCTGTGACACGGTGCGAGAAGTGAGGTATTAAATGTAATCAGGAGCTTCCTCTTTCCCTTAACTTTGGAAACAATTCCCCCCTCCATTGTTAAATTAAACAAACACGCCCGGTCGCACTGTTAAAGTTCATTTTATGCTTTCATCAATTGAATAGCAGTTAAACCTTAAAAGCAGCATTCTAGGGGTGTCACACTTAAGTTTCCAGCCTGGGGTAATTTCTGTGTGGAGTTTGCGTGGTCTTCCACAGGCCTACGGATTTTGTATGGGTCATCGAATTTCCTCACTTCCTCCAGTGACAAGATTATCTGGCAGTTGTCCCTGTGGGTGTCCTGTGTCTTATCTTGGACTCAGGGTAAACTTCAGTGCAGTACTTTGAGACTGCATGGATGGGTAGCAGACTCCAAGAAGTGTGCTGTGAAATACCTGCATTCTTGTTCTGTAGCCCACTGTAGCTAAAGGATTTAATTTCTTCACAGAACTCAAGAGTCTGCCATCTAATTTCTGAAGAGTGTAGTATACCAGTT